CACCTAAGATCTGGACAAGAAGCTCAGGGCCAGACTCTTCTTCCTGAGAAACGTCTCGGGTCAACCACAGTCCTTGGGAATTGGGTTCCTGGCTGGTTCCTAGTGGCCCAGTCTGCTGATCTGCCCCTGTTTGTCAGTCACTTGGTAGCTCCCAAAAGGTTTCGTTTTAAAAGCTTGCACTATGAAGCAGTTTGGTCCGAATGAGCCCCTCTAGAAAAGGGACTTAGGAATCTAAGAAAGTAAAAATCTGTGGGCTGTATAGAGGGGCATCCTCTTTAACATTCAGAATCTTTCTTTCCATTATTTAACTGTGCAGCCACCTTCGAGGGAGGAGTGACGACAACAGTTCTAAAGCGTTCTCGTCAGACTCAGTTCAGGTTCTGTTATCACTGTGGCTACCTCACTCCCCAATTCTGGGTTATTTAAGATATTGGTAATTTTTTTGTGGCTCATCTCATTCTTCCTCTTACTATAATCCCTTCATGGCTCCTAGTGCCCTCCCCGTGTTACCTCGAAGGTACACACGCTTTCTGACAGTGGTGCTGGGATGTGATGTCACTAGGAGCTCTGGATTTTTGGTGCCCTTGTGCAGGGATCTCGTGATTACCTCCTATTTCCTTAGCAGTGATTTCTTTTGGAAGCAGTTTCAGTTCAGTTCTTGTGGTTTCCACAAGTCCCATCTTGCCTAGGCCATAGATGGTACCAAAAACTAGACTTGTAGCAAAAAAATCGGATCAAAACTTCAGCACAGAACATAGAAACCATTGTGCTCAGCACTTGCTTTGTTCCTTAGAGGGTTTCCCGATGGAGCAGCGCCTGCACCTTCTCTGTGGACGGCCCTTCCTTCCAGCTGTATTTCATCATTTTGATAGTATTTCAGGATTAAAGATGCTGCTGTTTTTCTGATAAGTTTACCTTTTGATCAATTGATTAGTTGGTTTTGTTTTGAATTATTTTACATTAAAAATGCAATATTTAGAGTTAAACAATTCTCTGGGTTTCTCACACTCACTCCCTGTGTTCACCTGCTCTGGTTTCTCGTCAGCATTCACCGTGTCCCACCGGTGAAAATTTAGTTCTTTCTCCTCCCTGCTTCCTTCCCCACATCCTGTCTTCCCAGTGTGACTCATGTCACAGCATTGATTAAGTCAACATTCTTTGTATTTTATCTTTGTCATTGAGAGCTGAGTCTCATAATGAAATTATGATTACATTATGATTTCTGTACGTGTGGGTTTTTCTTGGAGTTAATAGTGGTGTTTTGTTTGCCATGCCTCCCCCCCCCCATTTTCTTGGTTTTGTCAAGCCTAGACTCTTTTTTTTTTTTTAAGAGAGAGAGAATTTTTTAATATTTATTTTTTAGTTTTCGGTGGACACAACATTTTTGTTTGTATGTGGTGCTGAGGATCTGAGGATCGAACCCGGGCTGCACGCATGCCAGGCAAGCGCACTACCACTTGAGCCACATCCCCAGCCCCAAGCCTAGACTCTTTGAAAGCCGTTCAGAACTCCTTTTAAGGTGATCACCCACATCTCCTTTTCTCCCGGGTTTCCTTCTGAAGCCGTCTCCTGGGGTTCCTTGGCTGCCTGGTGGGCATGGTGTCCCCTTTACTGGCTGCCCATCTCTGTCCTTCTGCAGGCGACCTCTGTTTTTCTCCTGCACTGGCTCCTTTGTCTTCTTTAATGGCTTACTACCTCTGTTCGAAGCATTCTTTATATAGTCTAGTCCCTTCCGGAGATGTGGTGCGTAGGAGGTGAGTTTTTGAGACTCTGCATGTCTGAAAATGTCCTTATGATATGTATGCGCTTCTCCCCTGTGTAGCACCCCTTTCTCTTTCTGGAAGCTTGTGGGATCTTATCTTCATTCCCAAGCTTCTAAATTCTATAATGATGTATCTTAATGTGGGGTCAAGGGACTTAGTGCTTTGGGTGCTTTGAGTCCTTTAAGTCTGGAAACCCGTGTTCTCTCCAGGTTGGGGCAGTGCTTCTGGATTCCTTAAACTGGCAGCTTCCCCTCTGTCCCTCTGTCACCTCCATCTGGAACTCCTGCTGTCTGGATGTGGGCCTCTGGAGCTCATCCCCACCACCCCTCATCTCTTTTGTCTTTACTTTTTTATTCAGTTTTTGCTCTGCTTTCTGGTGGATTTCCTTGCCTTTATGATTTCATCCCATTCCTTTCATTGAATTTTCCTTCCAATGTATTTTTCATTTCATTGCTGCAGAATGCCCTTTTCTGATACTCTACTGCATTTGTGTCAAGACTGCAGTAAATTCCCTCGATTCTGGGTGTTTGTGTGTGTGATGTTGTGTGAGTTTCCTTCTCCGTGAATGGTTGCTGTCCTCCAGGTTGCTTGTTTGGTCTATTTTGGTCTCTCTTGCATGAGTGGCTTTCTGAAGGTGCCTGGAGGTCCTTGGTTTGTCTCTGTGCATCAGGAAGAGGGAAGCACCAAGTGCCCACGGAGATTTTTCCAGCTGCGAGCCTCACCACCGGCTTGTCACGGAGTCCTCCGGTGTTCCTGTCATTGGGCTCTGCCCGTGGTGGGGTAGCTTTCTTCAGTCTCCTGCCTGGAGGGTGAAAGCTTGGCCACTGGCATTCTGGGAGATGGCTGGTGCTCTTGGGGTCCTGCACGCACATCCTGTTCACTTTCTTCACCTGTGCCCTTTCTTCCCCTCTTCCCACACCCCTGTGGCACAGAGAGCCCTGCCTTCTGTTTGGAAAACGTCCTTTGCCAGGTTGGTGGGATGGGCACAGCCCAGGCGTGCAGAGTGGAGAGGCTGCCACGGCTCTCATCACTGCTCAGGTTAACCTTTCTCCACCCAGCAGCCTTTTGGGCTTCTGGAGGGTGAAACTGGGTGCGTCTTCTCTTTCTCCACCACCAACTTAGGGTGTGGTTCTGCCATCACTTGTCTCTGCCGTCTGCGTTCTAGCTTCAAGTGTTTGCAGCTGTCTCCTAGATTAGTCTCCCTGTTCTCATGGTTTATGACTTAAAAAAAAAACTCCTTTCACTGTTCTTTAAAAAGGGGCTTGGGAGGAAGTGAAGATGGCCTTATGCATTCAAGCTTCCATTTTTTATCTGGACACCTCACCATTGCTGCTGATTTATCAAGCCTCGAAGGGTTTGACTTTTTAAGATTCAACCTGGACCCACAGTTAACACTCAAAAATAATTTAGAAAAATAATGACTGGCCAGAGCCCTCTGATTAAGAAATGTGTTCGTTCAGAATATTTAACCCGGGCCTTCTTTCCTCCTCTTTCATTTCTACTCCACCTCCTACCTGCTCTCTTGGCTTTGTGCAAACTGAAGTTCTCCATGGAGCATCAGGAGGCATCAGGTTGCAGGGAGTGAGGGGCCAACAGAGGCCGACACTGAGGTACACAGATGTGGAGCAGCTACCAGGCCAGCTCCATGCCGTGCTCTTCCAAGACTTCTGTGACTGTTACCCTCTTCCCACTGACTGGGGCTGGAGATAATGGTTCTGTCTAAGGCTGTGGAAGCGATGTAAATCACTGGTTGGCTTTAGAATCGTTGGACTTGATTGTCTCTTTAACAAAGGGCATGCTTCCGCTTCTTGGTCAGCTGAGAAAAAGGGATCTCGATAATGGCTACCCTGGCTCTAGAAGCAGGGTGAAACTCACGCAGGCTGAGAGAATGACTGCCTCTGTGCTGGGTTTCCAGCAGCTCTGGGCATGCCCTCTGTGCCCCTCTCTCAGGTGTCTCCTCCAGGGCTTCCAGGCTTGGATTACACCAGGAATCATACATGTTCTTAAGCCTTTGCTTCCTACATAAAATTCTGTTGTTCATTAGAGAAATTCCATAACATATTTCTTTGAATTTAAGTTGGCAGAGTTTGAAAGGTAATAAAGACCCTTCCTGTGTTCAGAATCAGTAGATGAAGGAGCCAACCATATGGAGATCAAAATCTAACTGGATGGGGAAATTCACGCCATTTGGAATCAGAGTGTCACCCCACTGACCACACACAGGACTACTCCCTCGGCTCAGCTCTTGGAAAATGTCATGTTAGGGCCAATGTGGGCATGTCAATATTTCAACCCAGAATTTGACATCTTATCTGCTTACTCACCAAATTGGACAATCACAGGCTGTTCCATGAGTGTGTAACCCTATAACATTTAAAGCAGCGAAAATAGCTCTTGTACGTGGGCTGACAGAGAGGTGTTACTCCAGTGGAAGTTCCCCTCGTGGAAACATGAGGAATGGAGGAATGGGCTTCGTGATATAAGATGACATTAGCATCAGTTTAGAGCGCGTGCATCAGCCATGCTGTGCTAAATCATGCAGATTTCAGAATCATGTCATTTTCCCATCTAAGGCAAATGCAGTGGTAGTTAACAGTCACTTGTCCCTTTGATCAAAGCTTCCCTAAGGTTTGAACTACATAGAGAGGACACCCTCACCTGGGGTTGAGACCCCTCTTGGGAACTAGTTGGGCGTCATGGCTCTGGGGAAGTCTCTACTCCTGTTTTTCATCTGCTAATCGAGGAGTGGGAGGACCATCTGAATGGAATGGCAGGACAGGGGCTAAGCCATGAACTTCTGTAGCTAATTTATTTCAGTATTGGGACTGAAACCCAGGAGTTCCCCTTCCTCTGTGTCATGTATTTTGTATGGTGTGCATTTTAGCTCGACTTATTTTATTTAGGAAGAATCATTTAGTTTCAGGACAGAAACGATCATTCATTCCTTCAGGAGATATCAGCTGTGCTTTCGAATGAGCGAGACGTGTTCTTGTCTCCGCAGGCGTGTGCTGAGAGTGACCACCTTGCACCTCATTTTGCTCAGCCTCACTGTGAGGCTTCAGAATGACAGCTGGAAGAGCCCAGACCTCCTTGCCTGCCTTGAAACATCCCCCTTCTGCTTTCCCAGAGACCTGGGGTCTGTTGGGGTGACCTGCCCTGGGCTCTTCTTGTATCTCAAGAAATAGAGGAGGGCCTGGAGCCTTCCACAGCCTCACTGTGCTGCTGCTTTCTTCACAGGGTGCTCAAGCTGGCATTACTACGTAACCATGCCAATGCCCGCTGCCACCCTCACAATTGCGGTGGGATGCTGGACAGAAATAAAGCTGGAGAAGGATCTGGTGACAGAACGACCCTTCTCATCTTCCGAGGCCAACTTCAGGTTTGTGTTTGGGAACTTGCTGAAAAACAAACCCTGGAGGGAGCAGGATGATGCGTTCCTTCCAGGCTCTGGGAAAGTGAGTCATCCCTGCCGAGAACCTCACCCAAAATAGGATTCAGACAGCAGGGAGAGGCCTGCTGGGAAGGAAGGAGAGAGGAGAAGTGTGGGCGTGCTGTTGTGCAGGGAGAGCGAGAGGAGTGAGTGTGCAGTCCTCTGAGTGCAGTTGAAACATTTGTATGTGTGAAGGGAGGAACCCTCAGGCCAACCCCACCTCTTTCTGCACCTTCCAACTGGTTTTTAGCGCTTGTCTGCTCAAAAACACGACTTACTAACGAGACGGAGCTCGCCTACTGGATCACTTTGTAAGCCACTTGCCTTTCTGTGCGGTGGCTGCCATGGATGGCCTCCTCAGTGGAGCTTATTGGCCTCTTAGAAGTGCAGGAAGCTGTCCCGAAGCCAGTGGGCTAAGGGAATCTGACGGGGTCGGGGCCTTGCTCACCTCAGTACTTATTTTCTGTGTGGAATAGGTCAGAAAATCACTGCTGTTTCTACACATTGGGGCGGGCCGTTGGCTTTCCCTTGTGGCCTCCCTGGGTGCCCACCTGATTCTAGCTCTGGAGCCAACAGGGGTCTGCACAGGATGGGTACAGACTGGTGCTTCATGCTCCATTCCCAGCCTGCTACTTGTTGCTCGACTGAACCATTTTTCTTTCTGGCAGAGAGCTACCAGGTCAGTTTCTCAGGGTGGTGAACATCCGAGCAGTGGTACAGCTGGTTTGGTCCTCCTCGAGGACAGTCAGGGCGACTCCTGGCACACATTCCTTGTATGGTTTCTCTTGCAGGCTGTGCTTTCTTGCCATGGTGACTGCAGGGGTTGGTCTCTTAGGAGATGAAGCCATGTGTTCTGTCTTCTGACACACATGTCTTATTGCCTGTGCTTTGCTTTTTTGGCAGAAGGGAGCAATTTCCACTTGTTGGTCAGTAAGTTATATGCCTATTTTGAAGTGTTTCCTGAGCTGTGTAGAATATTCTTGCTTATTAGATTTCACTTATGTCTGCTTGAGGGAAGAAGAGAATTGTGTACAGCAGGGACAAAACCCCCTCTCATGTGGGAGCATTTAATTGCCTGTGAGACCCTATAGTGCCTTCCTCCCCTGTACTGGGGCCATAGAGGAGGCTTCATTTTGCAGCTGTGGGCAAGCCTAAATTTCTGAGTGAGGAGAACAGGTGCCCTAGAGTGTCAGTGGATCCACAGTGGAGTTGGTATGAGCAGGAAATAAACTTTCTTATGTTGAGCTGCTGAAACGCTGGGGTGTGGGTTATTATTGTAGCATATCTTAGCCTATCCTGAATCGATACAGAAGCCATTGGTGGTTTAAAGTCAGAGAAAGTCTTGATCTAAATATTGTCTCATTCAGTCCTGAGGATAAACCTGTAAGATAGATTGACTTTGATAGATGAGGACACTGAGGCTGAGACAGTAACTCATTTATGTTCTTATACCTATTTAGTCAACAATACCTAGATTCACACCCAGGCTTGACTCTCTGCAGAGGTGATTTATAATTTTACCTGGAGACTTAAAAAAATATCCAGAATATATCAAAATATCAGAATCCACATTCACCTGGATTCTGAGTGATGACCTTACAGGAGAGTCCTTGCCATGATCAAGCCACTGTTACTGACTGGAATGTATCATCTTAGGACAGAAAAGACAAGTGGGGAGCCTAGGAGCTGGAAGGAGCCATTCACACTGGTTGAATTTGAATGTGGGCAGAACCACACTTCTGCAGAATGCAGACTTGGTGCATGAGTTCCCAAAATCTTCACTGGGAAGGAGCCCTGAAGGCTTCACCTAAAGCCTCAGGGTTCCATGATAAGGAGGTGCATTGTTGAAAAATATGTGAAAGATTTAGAGAAGGCAAAGAAAGAAATTTGCTATTTTGACTTTCTAGCCATGTTCCCAGGAGACCTGGGGCCAGGAGTGGGTAGTAGCCATTCTCTATGTGTGCTCTCTTTCCTGCCCAGAAACAACTACAATGACCTCTCACTGGTCTGGCACCCGTCATTCTTAAAGACAGAGATGGCCAGACCAAAGGGGTTCTAGGAAGAGATGATGCTTAAAATTCCTGTTGGGGTTTGGAGAATGGGATAAATACTATTCCTCTCTTGTCCTTCTACATTTAAAACCAGTTGAGGAATGAGAGAAGGAGATTAAAATAAAGGTTTTGTCATTGACAAGAGCTGAGCCAAGGGAGTGCCCCCGTGTGTGGTCAGTGGGGTGATACTCCAATCCAAATGGCGTGAATTTCCCCACCTAGTTGCCGACCCACTAGATTGCTGCAGTCTCTGTGACACAGGTGCACATCCCACCTACTGCAAGACAGAGAGCAGGCCTGAAAGTACCCTCTCTGTGAGCATGAAGGTCCCAAAAGGCCAAGTCCCCAGTGGCTGAGACAGTCAGGGAAGCTGGGGGAGAGGGCAGTGTGTCCTTCATGGGAGGTTGCCCTTTCATGGAAGTGGAGGCCTGCAGAGTGGGTCCTGCCCCTTGTAGACCATGCCTGTGGTCTCCCTTCACTCAGCAGCATGCTTGTGCAGCAGAGGAGTACTGCTGATTAAACAGCAACTGCCCTGGCTTTGGCATGCCTGGGTGCCACCGCTCGTTAGCTGGAGGTGGCTCTGTGTTTACTCGTGACATCTCTCTCTCTCTCTCTCTCTCTCTCTCTCTCTCTCTCTCTCTCTCTCTCTCTCTCTCTCTGCTCGGCTGGCCAGCAGAGCTGCTCTCCAATCCTAGGGTGTTTCTGGTTATGTTCACATCTGGTCCCCCTTGCCTTCCCCAACCCCCTTTCTACTTCAAACCCTTGAGATCCCCAATTCAGTTTGTGGAAATCTAGCTTTTACAGGGGCCTTATAGACTACAGGCTTTCATTTGCCTAAAGTGTTCATCTGGGTTCCAGAAATTTGGCCAGAGGATTGGTCACTGAACTTTTGATCACTGTTCATGTGGGCTAAATTATAGGAAGAACACTCCCTCTTCCAGTTCCAGTTCCACACACTCAGCCCACTCTGGGTGAGCACTGCAGTAATGCATTAGCTGTAAGGCACTGAGATAAACTGTCAAAAGCTTATTAACTTTATTCTGTTCCAGCCACAGAGGACTCTGGTGTTATGTTTAACCTCTCTAGGCTTCTGTTGGGACCATGCAGTTTAAGCACGGCACGGAAACTTGGATGAAGTCCAGAGGAGCTCAGCAAAAATGATTAAAGGCACTGAAAATGGGCAGTTCCTTCTGAAGGAGAGCAGGCCTGGTGGGGAGGGGCATTCTGTACAGGTGTGGAGAGTGAAGAGTTGCCTGAGCGGAAAGAGAACATCTCACGTGGCCCTGGGGTCTCTGCGAGACTCGACGATTCAGTGCAAGTACAGCAGCATCCCCTGAGTTCTTCAGAGGCAGGCTGGATGTACAGAGGGGCTCACGCAGCAATTGTCATGGAGTCATGGTTCAAGAAGAAACCTCAGAGATCATTTCATTTCTCGTTGTTGTTTTAGTTGTAGATGGACCCATACCTTTATTTTATTTATTATTATGTGGTGCTGAGGATCGAATCTAGTGCCTTACATGTGCTAGGCAAGGATCTACCACTGAACCACACCCCCAGCTCCAGTTTTTTCATTTTAATTAAAGCGTAGTTAGTGTACAGTGCAATGCGCAAGTCTTATTTGGCTTGCCGAGTTTCTGACACTATATATATATTGTAAGCCAGTTAGAGAGCACTCACTCTGGGAAGTTCTTTCACACCCCTTTCCAATCACTTCCTTCCCTCCTTCAGCAGCCACATTGCAGAGAGATGAAGGTAAAGAGGTCCCAGATACCACCTTGCCTGCCTCCGGTCACAGCTGGTCTCTGAGCGGCCGCTGAAGCCCAGGTTTTCTGGTCTCTCTGTTTTAGTCAGCTTTGTAGCTGCTGTGACTAAAAGACCTGACAAGAACAATTAAAGGAGGAAAAGTTTATTTAGGGGCACATGGTTTCAGAGGTCTTGGTCTATAGACAGCCAGCCTCCATTCCTTGGGGCTCGAAGTGAGGCAGAACATCATGGCAGAGGAAAGCAGCTCACATGGTGATCAGCAGCACAGAGAGACTCCACTCACCAGATACAAAAAATATACCCCAAGGCCACGGCCCCAGTTCCCACCTCCAGCCACACCCCACCACTTCAGTCACCACTCAGTTAATCCCTTCAGTGGACCAATTTGCTGATTGGGTTAAGGTTCTGATAATCCAGTCATTTCTTGTCTAAATCTTGCATGGTATCAAACGTGAGCTTTTGGGGGTACCTCACCTCACATCCACACCATAGCACCATGTAGGACTGTGCAAGTTACCTCCCTCATGACATTTCCATTTTTGTTAGGAGCCTTACTGGTCTCACTTGTCTATGGTTTGATGGCTGTATACTCCTGCATTTTCTCTCAGACTTTGATTATGGAAAATAGTGCCCAGTCACGCACTTGGAATCATTTCCATCAGCTAGGCTAGTGCCATATGTTTCCCAAGAGACTCTCAATCAAATTTTCCCTTGAACAAGTGGGTTTTTTGGGCGTATCTCTGGCTACCTCAACCTATTTTCTGCCCTTTGGTGTTCTTGTCTATAAGAAATAAACCTGCCTGGTGGAAACAGGCTGTATGTTCCTAGATGAAGGGCCTCTTTGCAGTGTTGTACTGTGGTTTGTGGAATTTAAACTTTGCCCCGGCTTTATCCAGAAGATGCCTGTACACCTCCAGGATCTCCATTGCTAACACGCTCTGATAGCTTTTCAACAGGGAGTGTGAGTTTAAACGACTGTAGCTCATCATATGCCTGTGTAAATACAGCAGGAAAAGGTGTGGTGGTGGTTCATTTCCACTTTGTGAGACCTTTGATTAACTAGTGCCCCGAACGGTTCTTGCCATTAGGTGGACACGTTGGCCTTTCAGTTAAGTGCTTACCAACAGGCACCTTGGCTGACTCCAATGCGAGGTTATCAATCCAGGGACTGCGGCTAGAGTTCAATGGCAGTAATTATATTCTCTCTACTGCTTTATTCTGCTGAAGTTTCTGTAGGTCTCCTTCCATTTTTCTTACCCCCAACCACGATGAAGCATCATCAGGGCCAGAGGCCGGGCTCCTTGAGTCACACAGAGGGGAGAGCACCGCTGTATGGATCTCCTGAGAGCTCGCCTTGCTTGGGAGAAGGGCACTTCATAAATTGGAACAGGAATTGTCATTGAAACCTGCCCATATTAGGACAGGCCGGTGTTTAAAAATTTTTTAGTGTTCACTGTGAATCAAACAAGCACCTACTGTCATAATCATAATTTGTAATACAAAGTAAAGGGGCTGCACATTGTGCCTGCATAAAGGACAAGTTAGCAGGTGAGAAGACAGACTTCCCTTTGAAGTCAGTTTTGGTGGGTAGATAGCTGTCCTGAGACCTGCAAGTCAGGTTCTAGGAATTCTCTTCAGCTGCACCTTTGACGGGATAACTGGTAGTGGTCAGATGGTACTGAGTGGGCTTCATATAGTTACTTAAAAGGACAATTCCTTTAAATTTGTGTTGACAGTAGCCTGCGGGACTATTGCCTCAGAAAACCAGTGGGTCCTCAGCAGCTGCTCTGGATGGGCTTTGTGAAGAACCCCCAGACTGCTCGTCAGTCAAAGGGACTGTGTCCTTTTGAAAAGTTTGTACCTGCAACTGTCATTTGGCTCGTTCTCCTATCTTAGTATGAGTCTCTCATTCTAGAAAATTTCCAGAATTTTTATCTTAAGCTTGGCTGTACTTTCCCCTCCTTTCAGAGTTACAATTCGTCCCTGATTTGGAGATTTTCCTATGATGATATTTAAAAGCACGTTACTGAGGGAAGAAATTGTTTTTATTTGGGTGGGAGGTAGTTTTATTCTGAGTTTGGATCCCATCCCCTCAGTTTATTCTAAAACAAGATTTGACTGCTTTTTTATCACTTAGATTGAACTGCTCCATGAACTCAAGCACATCAGTTTTTTTTTTTTTTTTTTTTTTTTTGTAGTTGTACATCGACAGCATGCCTTTATTTTATTTATTTTTGTATGTGGTGCTAAGGATGGAACCCAGTGTCTCACACATGCTAGGCAAGCACTCTGCCCTGAGCCCGAGCCCCAGCCCCTCAGTAAGTGTTTTGATCTGTAATCTTTCATTGCTATTCACTTGAACAGAGAACTGTCTTTGCTCGTGAGCCTGTTGGAACTGCTGTCTCCTGTAAGTGGTCCATTGTTGAAGAGTTCCACCCCTCCGCAGCAGGAGTGGACACGGTTTACCAGTAAGCGCATCTGCTTTTCTCGTGTCATCCCCAGGTGTGCTGGTGTTTGTGGTCACGTGGAATACCCCTGCCGCTTCCAGAATGCCTCTGCCACTGCCCAGGAGGTCATTCCTCACCGAGTCTTTGTCCCGATGTGCCTCCGGGATGTCTGCCAAGAGACCCTTCTGCCTCTGATCCCTCCTTGCCTCTCAGCTGCACACTCTGTCCTGGGAACACACCCATTCTCCCGGCTGGATATACTCATTGTCCCTGCTAACTTTTCAAGTCTGGGGATGGCCAGGTATGTCATTCTCTTGTGGCACTTGGAGCACATGCTCTGGAAATTCTTAGACTATTTCTTGCTTTTCTTGAGCTCTCTTAAAGCTGTCATTTGATTTGGAGGCAAGGGCCACGTAGCTCATCCTTGGACATCTTATTGCTCCTTTGAGGGTCAGTGTTTAAGCCCATGTGAGCCTGTGGGTGTCATGGGCTCAATTCAAACTGCCTTGAGAATGAAAAGCCCACGCTGTTGCTGGGGTTGCACAGGGTGATGTATGTTGTTCAGAGCTGATCAGGGCTGTTAGTGTGGGTGATGAGAGCATAATGCGAATGAGTTCAAGGTCAAAGCGTGAGCTCTGGGCACAGTAACATGACCTGGTCCCAGGGCCATGGGCTGTTTGCCTAATCCTGACCAGCTGTCTCATCCATCCTTACCACCAGTCCCAAGGCAACGACTTGAGAGCCCCTGTGTCAGAGAGACTGTGGACAGATCAGTGGAAATCAATCCTCACTGCTGGACAAACAGCTCAGAGCATATGGCCTGCCACAGGGTGGGGCGGGTGGTACTCACGGTGCTACTATTTTTTAATACAATCAGTGCATTATTCTTACCGTGTCTTGGTTTGGTTCCTGCAGAAAGTTGAACCTTTCCCCGATGTATCTTTTACAGGTAAACTCCCTTCATTAACTCCATTCTTTATTCTGCCATGGGTAGTGGTGTTCCACTGAAAAAGGACAGAGAGTATACTCAGGGTTTCCCTGGTTTTATTTCTGTTTGCAAATCTTAATCATTAACAGTGAATATTCTTGGCTAAGGATGGGAAAAATAAGCTCATCAAAACATGTGACTTTAAGTTTTTCCCCATTAGTCAAGGAAATTCCTGCTGCCAATTAATTTCCGTGCTTTTGAACAGCTGTCATTTGTGGTGTTTTCCCTGAAAACTGTGCACATTCTTAGTAAAACCCATGAGTAGAAAAGAACTGACCAGAACGTTTGCTTTTGATCTTTACTACATACATATACTTTTTAAAGGCTGGCTGACTTGACTTAATCCATGAGGAGGTCTGAGAAAGTCATTTAGACTGATTTTTATCCTATATTTATAAAGATAATGGGAATGTAGGAACTAGGATAATTATATATATTTGGTTACATGCATCATGTAATTGTCTTGGATGTCTATATATAGAATTTGTCTTAACAAAGGGGCTTCTTTGGTCCCTTTGAAGAGTCTCCTGGACTTAATTTAAGCAGAGTTATTGGTGAAGAAATGTTGTTCATTAAATGTTTCTCATTTGTATACAGTTTTGAGGGGGCATATTTATTTGGGAGTGTTTAGCACTTTACGAGAGCTGTAGCTTCTCAGAGCATGTTCACTAACAGGACCAGGTTGTGGCCTGAGGGAACCAAGGGCAGAGTGGTTTCAGAGGCAGGACCTTATTTTCTACAGCTCTTTCCTGACATTAGCTGCCAAAACCAGAATTTTGTTGACCTGCAGCCATTCTATAAAGCTTTGCTTTTCAAGTTTGCGTGCCCAAGCAGGTACACTGCTGCTTTTTGCGATATTTAAAGTGGTTTAAACACACTTAACTCTGTACTTTTAAAGTAATACCCGAAGGCCAAGTGTTACAAATGTCAAACAATGGGATGATGATGATGACTTAGCAGCAGCAAGACTGCTTCTGTGCTTAAAAATAGGAGAACGGACATTCAGAAATTTGTGGTTGGTTGTCAGATATCTTTTTCTTCCATTTGAGACTGTGGAAATAAAGTCTGCCCTCGTCTAGATGTCTTCCTGGACTGCATCGCTGTCCCCTGAGTTTGGGCTATGGAGGGAGATTGTGGCATCTTCCACAGCCAGTGGGAAGGGGAAGGGGAAAGAAGGGGGGACTCTTGTTTTTTTTCAAACTCTGACTTAAATGGATTCCACTTGCTTGGCTTGACTCTCCTGGGATCCCAACACCTTGAGCCACTTGTGGCCAAGTGGGGTTTATGACTTTATATTTAGAGTTAAGGCTTTGCCTACCTGAGGCTCTGTCAATCAAAGCTGAAACAAAAATGACAGCCTCGTAGGTCAACTCTGCACCCCAAATAGGATAAAGAATCCCCAAGGCTAGGAGGAGCCATCCCAAAGGACCTCCACGCTGTAACTCTCCACTGTTCTGTGAGTTATAATATGCTGAGAGATCAAAGGATTTCTCGGTTCATTAACTGGTTCTTTCCCAATTCCGTGTTTTATAAACATGCATGCAAGATCATCAGTTCCATACCTCTGAACTTCTTTAGTGATTAGGTCGTAATTATAACAAGTACCACTTTATACCATTTTAGTATTCTTTTTTTGTGAAAAGGCATTCACTTCTGCTTGTGACCTAAAACAGGCCATTAATAACTGTGTTAAAGAATTGATTTAAAAAATTTGGGGTTGTATCCATAAAGATTTCACTGTATTTTAAATATTATACATTATAATTTGTGTAAGCTTAAAACTCTCCACTCTGATTCTGTTTTTGAGCCTAATCTGATATTTTACCTAAGTAGAGGAAAAAAATAAAACCTCATTTGTACAGCTTGAATGTGTGGTAATGACAAATCAGTGTATAAGAAGGTGACGACTACCCAGTGTTTTCGGATTTGGAATGTTTTTCATAATAGCAGTAACTAGAGTATTTACCAGTGCAACATTTCGTGATTCCTGTCTCCTTTTGAAATAACCAGAGTCATTACTTATTGACCCCCACCTCCACCCTAACCCTTCCCAGGACCACTGTTCAGGGGAGAGGTGCTTTCCTTCTTTCTGATCTGGAGGAGAATCACCAGTTTGCTTTGAAGACACTGTGGATTGTTCCCTCCCCACACGGGTCTCACTCGGTGGGCATGGGCTTGCTGTTTTGGTTTCACAAAGACACAATCTGCTGTGTTGGGAGCTGTGAAGGAACGTTTCTTGGATTGAGTACTTGGATACCTCTGTGAAGACAAAGGCATTGTAAACGAGTCCTCGATGGGTGGACAGCTCTTCCTGTTTGGATAGTTAACGTTCTGCTGTTTTCCTCTTGACTTCTCACATTCTCTGTGTCTCAGGTACCTACTGACCAGCCCACTTTCTAGTACCGAAGCAGGACGGGAGAGGAGCCTATCGCACTGGCACTGTTAGGTCAGCAGTGCAGTTGATGGAGTAGCACCTGGAGCCAGGTTTATGACAGCTGCTTGAAAGTGGACACCCACCTCTGTCTTACCTCTGTATGTTTGGAATAAATGCTTTGTTCCAGCATTTGCCCTTCAGCAGTTCACAATTGCATGTCACCACACATAATTAGACTGGCAAAACCACCTCGCTGACATCCAGACCCTCCACCCCCGTATTTGAATTTCAAGAATCTCCTGTGGTTTTCTGTTTGGTGCCAAAATCAAAATGCCACCTAGCTCTTCTCACCAGTCCCGCCATCCACATGTGGTTTCACCCCTGAGGAACAAAATTGCCTCAGAGTGGCTATGATAAGTGACCAATTCTGCTTTGAGCTCTTTTCCATGGCACTATGACAGGGTTTTTTTTTTTTTGCCCCTTTGCTCATTTTGTTGGTGTATTTGTTCACTTAAAAGGGTGAACAAGGTTGATGAGTTCTCTGTCTTCATGGATGTAATTAGGGGATGAAAATCTTATTCATGAAAAGAAACTAAGATGTATGTGATGAAGAAAATAAAACCAAGTAAATGACAAAGGAGGAGAAATGGGTGGCCATCTGAGCCACTCACGCATCATGTAAGTAAGAGCAGAGAGACACTAACAACTGGCAGTGGTTGGATCAGGATCCATCATTCCAGGCGGTCAGGGTTGTGGAGAGAGAGCTGCAAGTGAGGCCCAGTTTTGTCTTGGTTTTCTTGGAACCACAGGTGCGCTGCCCCTCATGACTGGTTAGTTAGAACCCAAGTGGCCTACAGCTGCTGACCTTGAACAGAGTTCTCCAGTGCTGGCACTCAGGCTGGCATCACCATGTTTTTGTGTGGCTGATGACGGATTCCTTGCAAACTTTTTGACACAATAGATCAAAAGGAGGGAAGCTGTGTTTATGTTTGCTCATCCTAGTTTTTAAGTTTTTTTTTAAAGATTGATCACAAATAGAATGGATAAATACTTTAGATAGTTATCGATTATTTACATATCTTAGAACACTTTACAGTGGAGAAGTACTCTAGAGCTCCCAGTTACACACGACTGGTTCTTGAAAGACTGGATTATGCAGTCAAGGCTTGCTGATCCTTCTTCCTGACTATTGTGTGCACAGTTGTCTTAAGTACCTCAATTTGCAATCGAACGGTGTGCACCCCTACATGCCCAGGAATGCTCGGAACAGGCTTTTCCCTCCACCCCTCCTCCTGGGTTAGACAGGGTGTTGTCCTGTTTATTCTCATCTCCCAGCCAATGCGTAAGAGAATAAGCTAAACACGACATGCTGGTACAAAGGGTCCGTTGTTCTCAGCCTTCTAATTGTGCTCCTTTCTGCCGAGGAAGGAAGCAGTCATAAATTTGTGTCATTATCTTAAGTAGCTAGGTTTCACAGCCTCGGAAATTTTTCTTTGCTTGTTCTTTGTTAGCTTCTATTTGAATTTTTGATCCCCTAAACCAAAACTATCATACTTCTAAACAGTCCTACTTTAAATTTTAAGGGCTTTGACACACACACACACACACACACACACACACACACACCCTGTTTCAAGACAGGATGTAATCCTAGTGATTCTTTCTCTTAGGAATCAGATTTTGAGCTTTAAATTAGTGTGCCTTTCAATTCATCACTCTGCTATTCTCTGGATTTTGGGTTTGCACGTTTCTTTTTTCTTTTTTGGTTGTTGATATTTGTTTCTCATATTTTAACAAATTCTCAAGTTTCTCTCTTTATGGATTATTTTAGAGAATATTCTGAGGGCTGTGGATGTAGCTCAGTGATAGAGCACCTGCCTAGCATATATATCTTACATATTTTAAGTGGGCTTTTTCTTCCCTGTTATTTTTCAGTGTA